GATAGATCGATCGAGGGGGTGGATGGGGATAGATAGATAGATCGATCGAGGGGGTGGATGGGGATAGATAGATAGATCGAGGGGGTGGATGGGGATAGATAGATAGATAGATAGATAGATCGAGGGGGTAGCCACCTGCCTTCCTCTCTGAGTTTGGGTTATTTAAGACAAGAGCCATGTCTGGCTGGTCGGGCTCGTGGGCTCAGTCCGAGCCCCTTAGAAACAGAGCCTCCACTGGGTGGCTCTTAATCCTTTAAACACTCTGGGAACCCAAGGAGCCACCACCCAGCATCCGGGTGAAACAGGCCAGCCGTCAAGAGCCGGGTGAGCCGCCCTGATGCGCCTAGGGCTGCAGCAGGCTGAGGCTGGGTTCTGGCTTCATCCAAGAGCAGAGGAGGGTTTTAAGCAACATCCTGGCTAATTCCCTCCCCTCCCCCGCACCCTCCACCCCCCGCCCATGGGGCAACCTTGTCTTGGCAAATCTGCAGAGCCAGGGGATTCGGCCTGACTGGCAGGGGAGGGGTTAACCCCGCTGCTTTGCTGAAACCTGGGATGGTGAAACAGCATCCGACGAAATTAACAAATATGGGAAGTTTGGGGAGGTGGTTTGAGAACAACACCTCGTTTGTCACCCTCGGGGCATGATGGGTGAGTCAGTCCCTGCCCCCCAGACCCTGCCACGGTGCTCCCCCCCCCACGCCTTGCCACGGCGCTCCGTTCCCCCCCCCGGCCCTTGCCTGTGGCGCCCTTCCCCCCCCCCCCAGGCCCTGCCACGGCGCTCCGTTCCCCCCAGGCCCTGCCACGGCGCACTCCCCCTCCCCCCCAGGCCCTGCCATGGCACTCCGTCCCCCGAGTCAGTCACATGTCACTCCATACCACATCCCACAAACCTACCCCTGCCCCTGCAGCTGCTGTCTGAATTTGCCACAGAGAAATTCTTGCGACAAAGTCAGTTTCCTGGATAAAAAGACCAGAAGCTTGTGACCAGACTCCAGACGCGGGGGTGACATTCCCCTGTGCTAGGAGCCGTGGCCCTGGGACTGCCACATCTCCAGGAGCTGGGGCCCAATCCGTCTCACCCATGCACCCTGGGGCAGCGTTGACATGGAGCGGAAGGCCGGTCCAGCGGGTCAGGCGCTAGCCAGGAGACCTGGGCTCTGCCACAGCCCCCCGCAGGCCCTAGGGCAGGTCACCCCAGCTCCCCCTGGCCTCAGCTCCCCCTCGCCGGGGCATTGGCAGACTGCGCGCCACCCAGACACTGCCGTGTAAACGCGTCTCGGCCCAGTTCTCTCCACTTAACCCCCATCGATGGAGCCACCCCAGGCTGACCAGCCAGCCAGGGGATAGAGCCTTTGGGGCTGGCACTGGCTGTCCCCAGGCGCTAAGCACAGGAGCGGGTGGCACAGGCCCTAGCCCACGCCCGGAGGGTAACCCAGGGCCCTCTCCACTGTCTGTCGCAGAGTCCAGCAGCCGGTGGACGAGGAGTGTTACATGGAGAGCGACGCCTGCGGAGACCAGCCCGTTTACGCCAACACCCAGCAGCTGTACAACAGCAGCTTCCCCGAGCCCAGTGACGCCGAGGAGGTGTACATCGTCCCGGACAAATGAGCCCTCCGCCCGCCCGCCCGGAGGCACCCCAGCCCCGGCTGTCTTTAGGGAGCGGGCTCGGGCCGCGGGGGGGCTACAGTCCCGTTCAGTAGCTGTGACCATGTGTCACGCCCCGGGGAGGGGCTGCTGGGGATCCCAATTAAAGCAAAATCACCTGGCAATTGCTTCCCGCCCCCAGGGTATTACCCTGCAGCCAGCCCCAGTCCAGCCCCACTGGAATGCAGACAGCTCAGGTTTCCCCTGGGGGGGCTGGAATTTCCCCTTCCCCATTGAGAGGGAGAGCCCCCCCACGGGGCGGGGGAGGGGATCCTACCCCTGCATCAGGCTGCAAATTCCTCCAGAAATAGCTCCCGCTTCTCCTGCCAAAGTGCCTGGTTCTGCGCCAGGCTGGCTGAGCCGCTGCTGGGACCCAAACACCATGGGGTTTCCTCTGCACCTGGGAACTGCGGGGGGGATACACTTATGGCGGGGAGACGGCACGCGGCCACCCCACGGAGCAGCCCAGCGGACCCCTCAAGGGACACAGGAAGGGGACAGGCAGGACAGAGCCGATTCCCAGAGGAAGTGGGGCCTCACTGGAAAGGAGGGACCCGGAGCGCTGGGGCTCCAGGAATCGAGGGAGATGCGCCCGAGCAGGGCTCAAGGCAGCCAGGCCATGGTGTGTCGTGGGGATTCCTGGGGTGGGGGACCCGCCCGCCCCGTGTGCCTTTGCTGTATGCACCAAGCTCAATAAAGAGATTGTAGCCAGGAGCCAGCGTGCTGCAGCGCCCACCCGCCCCCTCCTCGACCTCGCAGGGTCAGTAGCCACGCTGCCCTCCAGCCGGCCACAGGGGGCCTCCCCTCCCCCAAACCCCGGGGCAGGATCTGCAAGGCTCTGTGCTGGGCAGGAGGGCTCCAGTCATTCACCTTAGGGCCCAGCGCCCTGCCCCATTGCTATGGTCAGCATGGGGGGCAGCCTCCCTCTGGCGCACCGAGCGAGGACTCGGCTTGGCTCCGCCGCGGCGCCCGGCTCCGTGCAGGGTCCTTGGCCCTGTGGAAGAGGGTTGAACTTAGGGCAGGCGGCGAGACTTGCTCAGCGCAGGGGAGCAGATCCCCAGTGCTAGGGAGAGGGAAATGCACGGTGGGGAGCTGGGGACACCCCCCCCACCCTTGCTCCTGCCTGGCCGCACCGCGCTGTGCCCGGCCTCTTCTGTCCCTTTGCCCCACGTGGGTGGGAGACGCTGATGTTACCTGTGGCCCTGCACTTCCACACACAGCCGCCGAGGGGAGCCAGAGACCAACTGCACCAGAGTAGGGTCTGGGGGTGGAGGCTGCTGGTCATGGGGACCAGGGGGGGCTCAGCACTCCTGAGCCTGCCCAGAAGCCCCCCTGCCTCTGCAGCTGCGGATTGTTTGGGCGCAGGGTGACCCAGTTGCAGGCCCAGCGAGCCGAGTCCATCACATGCCGTCCCGCCCCAACAGGCTCTACCCACACCTCGCTCTGAGCAGCTATTATGGGATTGACACCAGGGTTATTTTTAAAGGCAAAGCCTCTTTCTGCTCCCCCCCTCCCCCGTCCCGCACGCCTGAGCCGCTCCCATCCCTTCGCAGGTCTCTTCTGTGAGGGGCTGAGGTCAGACGCTTCCTGGCCCGGAGAGAAGCTGCAAGCCACAGCTCACACGTTAGAGCTGCAGCACGCCTGGCCAAGCCGGGGGCAGGGGGACGAGGCCCTGCAGGCCGGGGGGGGGGGGTGGCGTGAGGGACGCACTGTCCCATTGCCAGAGGTGCACAGCTCCACGGAGCAGAGTCAGGCACTGACAGCCGCGCCCGGCGCACTGGACGGACAGGAGGGCGACGCCCCAGCCCTGGCGCACGGCTGGGATGGCAGGAGAAAGAGCCTGCTGGGATGGGGGGGCAGTGCAGAGCCTCCCCCCATCCCCGCTCGGGGCGGCTCTGCCCCTCGCTGGGGCCCTGGCGCACCCAGTGCAAGGTTCTGGGCCACGGGTCTCGCCCGGCTCCAGCCAGCCCCAGGGACCTGCAGGGGCTCCCGCCACGCAGGGCCTGGCCACAGACTGCTCCCAGGGCTGGGGGGCTAACACCCAGAGCCCTGCCGACGGCCTTCCAGCATTGGGCTTGATTCTCCGCTCGCCCCTGTGTGCCAGTGACACTGCTGCAGTGAGGCCGGGCAAGTGAGAGGCTCCAGCCGTGTGGGCGGGGGGGGGGGTGTCAGGCATGGTGGGCAAAGCGGGAAGCTGGGAGCAGAATCCATCGGGTGGGCTGAGCCCCGCAGAGCCCCCCTATCTCTTTACGAGGCCTGGGCCTGGCGCCCCTTGGCACTGCCCCATGGCCAGGCTGAGCAGCCCCATGCATGCGCCCCACAGTGGAGGCGGCCCCGGGGCCCTGGCGAATACGTGGCTGGATCTAGCCCTTGCAATCCTGGGACCAGCTCAGTGACTGCCCGGGAGGCGGGCAGGGGTGAGAGGAGCAGCGAGGGCGGCTGCTGGAGAAGGAACTATTAGTGCTGGGCTAACTTCCCCATGCAACGCACTGGCAGTGCCATGAGAGGCCTATGCCAGCCCTGGGGTCTGCCCACCGGCTCCGCCCTGCCCAGGCAACAGCTGGGAGTGCCCAGGCTGCGGGTGGGTGGGGCTGGCTGGTGGGGGCAGCAGCCCTGCTCGCACTCTGCCCTCGGGCAGCATCACACCAGGAGTCACCCCGGAGCCTGCAGGGAGGGGGCAGGGCTGGCATGCAGTGTGCCACCCGCTCTGGGTCCCCGTGGCCCAGGATGCCTAGGGGCAGCCCTGCCGCCCGCACGTCAGAGCAGAGAATCCAGGGGGAACAGGGAGGGCAAATGACAGGTGCTCAAGGGCTCTGCCTGCCCCAGAGCAGAGCGGGGGGCAGCACGGGGCCCACCCTGAGCCTGCCCTACCGAGCCCACTGCAGGGGATTTGTGCCCAGCGTGCTACGGGGCGAGGGCTTGTTCGGCTCCCAGGGGGCGAGCCTTTCACGGCGGGGTGGGGCAGGGCGACTCGCTGCAGAAGTCCAGCGTTTGGCACAAAGCTTCTGCCCCCAGCTCCCTCCATATGATGTCATCACGCCATGAGGGCACAGGCCTGCGTGTGACATCACACTCGTTACCATGGCAGAGCTCTGATGCTGCCTCCGGCCGGGGGCAAGTTCAGGCATCGGGCCCGGGGGCAGGAGGGTCTAATGGAGAGAGCGCTGGGGGCCGCCCAGCTCGATTCCTGCCACGAGCCCGCGGGTGACCTTGGCCAAGGCGCCTACTCACTCTGGGGCGGGCAGTGAGGCTGAGCCTTCTGCACTCAGCGTCTGCGGCGAGGGGTGCTAGGGACGTACCTGGAGCCTCGGCCCAGAGCGGGTGTCACCGGCACGCTGCCGCTGGTCTTGGCACAGAAGTGACGGTGAACTCTGGTGCTCCCACCTGGCCCCGGGCCAGCGAGTCAGACAGAACTGGAGCTGAGAACACGATGATGCATCTTAGCTGGGGCTCAAAGTGGAACTGTCCCCAGCTGCAGCATCTTGTGACACAGCAAGGCCATCGAACCTGGGACCTCTGGAGCTTAGTGCATGAGCCACTACAGCATGAGCTAAAAGCCACCTGGCCGTTAGCTAAGGCAGGAGAGCAGACTCATTTTCTCTCTCTCAGTGGCCTCGGTGCCACTAGATGGGCCAGAACCACACCAGGAGGTGTGTGTGGGTTACACAGAGCAGGACTGGGAGCCTGATTCCCATTTACCCCTGCGCAGAATGGGGGCACACGGCACTGCTCCATGCCCCCGGGCAGAACAGGGGCACACAACACTGCTCCATGCCCCCCGGCAGAACGGGGGCACACAACACTGCTCCATGCCCCCGGGCAGAACGGGGGCACACGACACTGCTC